AGCGGCGGCTAGCGTCGATTACTGTAGATTTAATGTTGGCCACCGTCGATTAGCGCCGATTCGCGTCGGCCAACAAGACGGCTACACGGGCTTGACCGTGAAGGAAACTTGACGGTCTTGTTATATTCCATCCCTATGCGGCCCTCGCCCAGGACAGGGAGGAGGAGGAGGAGGAGGAGGAGGAGGAGGCGGAGGAGGAGGATGAGGAGGAGGAGGAGAGGGAGGAGGGCGAGCAGACTGCAGGAGTTCTCCGAAAAAACCGAAAAACCTTGGAAACATGAAACCCCTAGCCACTTAAGGCGGGACGGGGAGGCTAAGCCTCAGATAGTAAAACCGAACAAGTTCAGGCGCGGGGGGGCAGCGGGGCCCCCGTCTTGGGGCGAAAGCCCCGCTCCACCAGGTCGGCCTTCCTCTTCTGGTTGGCCCTGGTGGCGGGATTGGGAGACGGCCCCACACACTTCGAATTCAGAGTCGAGCGTCCGCTCCACCCCTCCTCCCCCGACGACGAGGCCCCACACTGGGTGCAGCAGACCATGGCCCCGTGGGTGACTAAAACGTGTTTTAGCTCCCTGAAAGCATCGAGCCCGTCTGGTGGCTCCCCCGCCGGCGCAGGCACGGACCCCGGGGCCTTCAGCCGCCGCCAGGGCCCCGGACACGCACGGACCCGCAACAGGACCCCTGAAATCGTGGACCACCAGACCGGGCTTCGAGAAAAAAACACCGCGCAGCCCACGCCTGGGTGGGCAGCGGTTTACATTCGCCATTCAAGAGATGGGCGAGGTGCCCGTCCGTGCGGGCAACACACAAACATCTGCGGCACCGAACCTCCATCGTCGGCTCGACGCGAACAAAGTCGTGCGACACTAGCTTGAGAACGCGCGGCCCGACTGCACGGGGACGCCGGGGAACGGCCCCGGGCGGATCGCGCCAGAGGTCGAGACCGACCGCTCGGCTTGCCGCCCAGGAGACAAACTTCAGGATCGCCTTGGCGCGCTGGAGCTCCGACGAGAGGTACTCCGCGTGGACAGACGACACGGCATTCGCTGACGCCCCGAGCTTGGCGAACCAGTCGGCCCACAGATTCCCCGCCCACCACCTGAGAGAGATCCCAAGGGAAAGGGCCTCCTCGGGGCTCTTGCGGGCTGGGACCCAGCAAAATGCAGGGGGCTCTCTGGAACCTACCGCCCCGAAAATGAGCCTCCAAATCTGGGCATGCTTGCCTCTGGAGCTCTCGAGGGCGGGGTCCCAGGACGAGCCCTCATACACCAAACTGAACAGATCACTCACTATGTGCTGGGTGGCCGGCGCATGTTGGACGAGACGCAGCACTGACCACCTCTGTGCTCTGCCGACAGCCTGGAAGCCTGGGAGAGGACCGTACATCGCGCGAGCTGGAAACGAGTCTTCATCGATCTGGACTGCAGACCACCCGCAGCGCGTTAATTCAGGCTGTGCCGACTCGAAGCCCGAGCCATCAGTACACGACTCAGGGCCCCACGCAGCAGCCTCGGCATCGCCCCAGAAGAAGGTCGGCAATTCGTTCTCCGCAGCCTTCACCGTGAACGCGTGCGGCACGCACGGGAGACCGTACCCGCACTCCAGGTCGTCAAAGTGGCACGTCGAGCCGAGCTCTACCAGCATGGCTCTCGTGGGCCTCGGGCAGCGGGGGGAGATAACTCCCAGGCGGCACCTCCAGCAGCTTCGGGCAGCCCAGCCAGATGTGCCCGTAGTTGCCGTATTCGGCCCCGCACGCCCGGCAATGCAGCTTGCTGTAGCCGTCCGCTGCTGCCCGCCTCTCGGGAGTCAGGTAGCGGCCAGACCACAGCATCTGCAGCGCGCCCAGCTGCCTCGGCGGCAGCGCCCGCGAGCCTAGGCGAATGCCTCGGACACACACCTGCTCGGTGCCCGAGGCCAGGTGCATGTGCCCAAGCAGCCTCTGCGCCTGCCACCGCTCGATGGACCCCATCAAATGGTGGCGTAGGTTTTCTGGCGGCACGCGCAAGGGCGAGTACACCTCGCCCGCGTCGGACCTCACGTGGGCCGAAGAGAGCATCTCCCAGCCCAGCCTCCGCAGCGACAGCCAGGTGGATGTGAGGGGCCCGCGCGCCGTGCCGAAGGTGGTGGACTCGAATTTGGCGCGGGCCACGTCCCAGGCCCTCTGCAGCCTCGCGCCGGAGGTGCGGCCGTCCCACAACCAGCCAGTGTACCGCAAAATCAACGGCACCGAGACGTCGTATATGGGGTCGTACTGCGGGCTCGGATGCGTCAGCAAGTAGGCCGTGCATCCAGTACCAGGCTTCCACCCGTTCAGAGTGGCCGCAGTATGTCGAAGAAGACGAGACCGATGGTCCGCCACGCCGCTGACGCCCGCGCCGTGGGTGACCGACGGGGCCAGGCCAGTGCGCCACAGCTGCGCCGCCTTGCGCCCCGCTCCGCGGGACAACATGGCGAGTCGGCGGCCCCTCGCAGAGAGAGCTGACACGCGAGCCGCCTCCTGACGCCGGAACACCCTCGGCCCATGGCGCTCGTGGCCGAGGTTGCGCATCGCCCGCCTCGGGCGCAAGCCAATCTGCAGCGCCCGCGCCCGGAAGCGGTGCGCGAAGCGCGCGCGGTTGAAGATCAAGCCCGACTTGGCTTGCTTGTCCCGCATGCCGAGGCCCTGCACACAGCGCGTCAGCTCGACGGCGGCCACCTCGAGCTGACTAGCCTCCGCCTCACGAGGCCCCACATAATGCAGAGTAATGTCGTCCATAAGCTGCCGGGGCCGCACGTTGGGGCACATCTTGCTGAGCCTCGCCATCGCGCGGTGAGTGAGCACCAGCAGCGCCGTGGGAACGTGAGTGCACCCCGCCAACACGCCCTGGAAGACCAGCATGGCCAACGACAGGCTGGGCCCTACCCGAACCCTGCGAGGCTGGTGGTAAAGCTCGATCATCATCCACACCAGCCGCAGGGGGAAGTGGCACTCCCTAGCCTCCAAGAGAAGCTGGCTGCTGTCCGCGAGCTCGAAGCACTTGGCCATGTCGCTGACCCACGTGCCGCTCTGCTCGTCCAACAGGGTGGCCACCTCCTGCTCCAGGTTCAGGTCGAACGCAGAGTCGCTGGAGGTGAAGCGGGAGCGGGAGAGGGGAGGAGGAGGAGGATGAGGGGGGGGAGGATGAGGGAGGAGGAGGAGGAGGAGGGGGGGGGAGGCGGCCCCGTGGTCCGACCCTGTGGTTGGCGTCGGCTGCCCACGGGGCGTCGGCCGCCTCTCCTGGGCCTCGGCGGGCCCGCGGGCCAGCGCAGCGCAGGCGCGGCAGGAGGAACCCCGAAGGGGCGCCCCCGGGGACTTCTTTTGCCCATGCATTCACACCCCCATGGCGCGATGCCGACGCTAGCGATGCGACTTTGGAGTCGGCAGGCTGTCCTGCCGCGGGACTGCCATCGCACCTTCCGCCCTGGTGAAACGAAGACGCTGGCGCCGGCGCGCCCCCAGGGACTGCGCCCCCAGGAACTGCCGCCCTCCTGTCCAGGCGCCGAATGGGAGAGAGGTGACGATGATGACGGGAACGACGGACGACCGAGACCGACGCGGCACAGCGAGTGTGGCAACTGCCAGCCAGGGCACCTTCGGAGGCGAAGGATGAAGCGTCGGGGGTGGACTGGAGGACGGAGCAGATAAGGAAACCAAGGAGAAGGGCAAACGCAAGAGAAATCCTGCTGCCGTGGACCGGAGCCATGCCAGAATAGGATGCGGGAGGCGATCGCGGAAGAGCGGCGTTCTCCTCAGGCCAGGCGAGCTTCCCGAGGCGAAGTTTTCAATCTCAACTATGAGCGTCTTCGTTTCACGGCAACCGATCGGCCACCATCAAATCGTGATCATATCCGACTCGGCTGTCCACTAATAGTAACGGCATCAAGCGACCGAACGTCAGCTTCAAAAGCCTTCCGTCCATCACAAGTTCTCGTGCAACTGCCTGTGCCAATCATTTCTGTCATACGTCGATGGCATCAGAGCGAATGAACCAATGCATGCTCAGAACCACCACGTGCTGGACGAACGCCACCCGGCTGAAGGAAGCACGCCGCCAAACGATTCATCATAGTTGCACCCCAGTGCCCGTGTGCAATAGGTGTTTCTGCGGATTTGCAAACACTGAAGTACTTCGTGGCGTTGACAAGGGTCTAGGCTGCAACACACACACACACATCGCTCTGCGAATAAAGATCCCAATTCGCAGACGGAGCTTGCACAAAGCTGATGCGATCTCCCCAGACAGCACTCGTACGGCTCGCCCCCCACATGCTGACGAACAAAAACTTACATGACTTGTCTGGGCCTGGACGATGGTGGTCCGCAACGATTTCTGGCCGTTCCACTCCTTGCTCGATGCATTTCCAAAATGCTTGTGGCCGATTCCTCCAAACATGCCACCGTGAGCGCAGGGGAACGTTCCGTGTTAGGTTCCTGGCGCTCCCGCCACTGCTCCCTGCAGCATCCCCACCCTCCCTGCTTCGCGGCCCGCTCCCAGTCACCAAGCCTCACTTGTGCTCTACTCGTTGTAGACACGGCCTGCTTGTGATAACCACGCCCGACGTAATTATCCCCGACTTGCGGCGGCCACCTCGTTGTTAAATTCCTGCTATGGCGCGCAGGGTGGCACAACCACCAGACCAGGACCTTCACCGCAACGTAAACGCGAAGAGCGCAATGCGAATCGGGAGCGCCGCACAAGCCAACCTTTGGTAAGCGAGCGAGCGCACGCAATGAACCGCGGCCTGGGAGACAAGGGAAGCAACAGTGGGGAAACGTGGGAAGAGAAAAGTGGAACACCATGGAAGCACACTCGCCAATCACGAACGGTGTTGATGTCATATCTGTGACGTCCCTGAGCCGCGCAACCACTGGGGGGGGCATGTGGGGTCGCGGGGGGGCATCCTCATCCTGACAGGGCCACCGGAGAAGGGAGACCAATGAGATGGGAGGGCGGAAGGGCGGCCGGCAGCGGGGCTGGGCTGGCCTGGCGAGCAACAAGCGATCCCGCCCACGACAGTCGGCGCGACCATGGCGAAGGCGCCGCAGGGCGGACGGCGGCAGGCGGCCGAAACCCCGCCCCTCCCGAGTGGCTTGAGCCCGCCCAATCGTCGTAGTCGTCTTCGCCTCAGGGGCACTGGAAAGGGAGCCAAAGCGGGACGAGGGTGTCCGCGGGAGAGCTGGAGCAAAGCACGACGCGCTCGACCTTGCTTCCGCAGAGTGCCGATACCAGCAGTGAGCCAGTCCCCATGCCCTTCGAGGACCTTGCAGCAACTGAGCGAGGGAGAGGAGGAGAGAACCGACGACAACGACGATGACAAGCAGAACGAGGAATAGGTGGATGAGGATGAACAAGGTAAGGAAGATGGAGAGGATGAGTAAGAGGCGGAGGAGGAAACACCCCAGAATGTGAGTAAGCGATTCAAAACATATTTGGGGCGGGACGACTCAACAAATAATTTCGCCCGCCTGGGTACCCCCAATCGGGGGAAAGGGAGCTCGGCCCACGGGGCGACAATTCGGGTTGGCCCCACGGCCGTCTGGAGGGCCAGAGGGTGCCCGAGGCTGACAATTCGGAGCGGGGGTTGGCGATCCAGACCGGTGAAAGGGCCCCCTTGGCGAGCCTTGGCCCTCCCAGGGCGCTCCCAGGCGCTCCCAGGGCGCTTGGTTGCGTTCACGACAGAAATCCAAGGGACTCCATCGACGGAGGGCGGCTCGCGATCCGGGCTGCGATTCGTGGTGTCATTGTCGTCGTCGTCGTCATCATCGCCATCGTCACCGTCGTCGCTGCAGTAGTAGTGGGTCGTGGTAAGTTTCGTAGTAGACGCGGCAACATCAGCAGCATAAGAAGTACTAGTAGTCGTAGTCGTAGTAGCAGAGATGTAAGAGTAGAACTAGTAGTAGTAGTAGAAGAAAAAGAAGTAGTAGTCGTAGACGTAGTAGTAGTAGTATCAGTAGTGGTAGCAGTAGTAGTAGCAGTAGTAGTAGTAGTAGTAGTAGTAGTAGTAGTAGAAGCAGTAGTACTAGTAATAGTTATGAGAGTAGTAGTAGTAATCGTAGCCGAAGTAGTAGTAGTAGTAATAGTAGTAAGGGTAGTAGTAGTAGTAGTAGTAGTAGTAGTAGTAGTAGTAGTAGTAGTCGTAGTAGTGCTAGTAGTAGTAGTAGTAGTAGTAGTAGTAGTAGTAGTAGTAGTAATAGTAGTAGTAGTAGTAGTAGTAGTAGCACCAGTAGTGGTAGTACTAGTACGAAGAGTAATAGTCGTAGTCGTAGCCGCAGTCGTAGTCGTACTAGTAGTAGTAGTAGTAGTAGTAGTAGTAGTAGTAGTAGTAGTAGTAGTAGTCGTAGTAGTAGTAGTAGTAGTAGTAGTAGTAGTAGTAGTAGTAGTAGTAGTAGTAGTAGTCTAGTAGTAGTAGTAGTAGTAGTAGTAGTAAGTAGTAGTAGTAGTAGTAGTAGTAGTAGTAGTAGTAGTAGTAGTAGTAGTAGTAGTAGTAGTAGTAGTAGTAGTAGTAGTAGTAGTAGTAGTAGTAGTAGTAGTAGTAGTAGTAGTAGTAGTAGTAGTAGTAGTAGTAGTAGTAGTAGTAGTAGTAGTAGTAGTAGTAGTAGTGGCGTCGCAATAACAATAATACTACGTCTTAGGTGTCGTAGTCGTAGCCGCAGCCGTAGCCGTAGTAGCAGTAGTAGTAGTAGTCATAGTAACAGTAGTAGTAGCAACAGTAGTAGTAGTAGTAGTAGTAGTAATAATAGTAGTAGTAGTCGTAGTAATAATAGTAGTAGTAGTAGTAGTAGTCGTAGTCGTGGTCGTATCCGTAGTGGTGGTAGCTGTCGCAGTAGTAGTAGTAGTAGTAGTAGTAGTAGTAGTAATAGTAGTAGTAGCAGTAGTCGTAGTAGTAGTAGTAGTAGTAGTAGTAGTAGTAGTAGTAAAAGTAGGTAACGCCGTGCCCGTCCGGGCCGTGTAGTAGTGAACCGCTGTTCTGAAGATGTGTCGCTGTCTTTCTCTTTCTTTGGCACTGGAGTATATGTTTCAAAGGTTTATGTGGCCGATGTTGGATCCCAGAGCATAAATTTACCCTCAGAATTTGACACTCGGTTTTCGGTTTTAAATTGCCCCCGTCCACACAATCGAGCATGATGGAAGCGGACGCCGTCTCCGTCCGGGCCCGCCGTGTTCGATTCCGAAGAGATTGCATTGCTTTGCATTGGGTTGCTTTGCGCTATTTTGCATTGCTTGCATTTGGGTTGCTCAATAGATGTCTGCTGAGGTTGCATTGGGAGCTCACATCATGATGATGATGTTGAAGAAGGTGATGAGAATGATGATGATGATGACGCTGATGACGATGATGATGGTGGTGATGGTGACGATTAGTATGATGACGATGATGCGGATGATGATGACGATGATGACGATGATGATGATGCTGATGTATGACGATGATAATGATGTTGATTACGACGATAATGACGATGATGCTGATGGTGGCGATGATTGTGATTATGATGGTGATGATGATGCTGGTGATGATTGTGATGATGCTGGTGCTGATCACGATTCATGACGATGACGGTGGTGATGATGATGATGACGACGATAATGAATATGATGTTGATGATGATCATTATGATGCTGATGTTTTTGATGGCCATTATGATGATGATGTATGATTCTGATTAAGATGATGATGACCATTCTATGTATATACCTATACCCATATACATATATATATGTATATATATATACAGACCCACGCGGGGAAGGTGCACGGGGCCACGCTGAAGGACGCCCTAGAACCTCCCTGCCCCCGCGCCGTCGCCGACACGCAGCGCGGCGCTGTCGCAGGTCGTGGGACTGCTGCCGCCGGGCTCACCGCCGAGCTGCACGCAGACATGTGCCGCTCCCTTCGGCAATGTTTCGTCCGTCTCTTCGTTGGCCTCACCGCTGCATTTGAGACGGTTTGTCGAGAGTTAGCCATGGTGCAGCCTACTGACGATCCTGATCGTGTCCGCGCCGCGCTTCGCGATGCGGGTTTCCCTACGGCCGTGCAGGACCAGGTGGACACGTTCATCCAGACGCAGGGAAATCTCCTTCGCGCCGCCGGTGTCCCAGCTGACGTGGCCGCCCTGGTCGCCGACATGCATGCGAATACGTGGCTCACCACCCAGAAGGGCGCGCTGAAACCTGACGCCATCGTCGTGCGAACCACCAAGGGCGCACGGCAGGGTTGCAAGATCGGGGCTTTAATTTTCAACGTGATTTACGAGTATGCTCTGAAGAAGGTTCGGCGCCGAGCCCGCGACGCTGGTCTTGTACTCCTCGTCGAAGCTGCGGCAGGCCATTGCCCCTGGCGCACCTCTCCTGAAGCTGTCCTCGCTGGTCCCACTGCTGCGCTTTATCCGGGCGTTTCTGCGGACCTATTCGACATCGCATTCGTGGACGACGTCCTCTTCATGCTGATGTGTGCCAGCCCTGCTCTGGCCGCCACGCAGGCCAGCATGTTGCTTGAGATTGTCGTCGACGCATTCGCCGAGTGCGGCTTCCAATGCAACCTCAAGGAGGGCAAGACGGAAGTCTCCTTGCACCTGGTAGGCAAAGAGTCTCGCCGAGTCCGCGCGTCCCTCTATGACCCCGAGCTGAAGCGTCACATGTTGCGCACGCTGGACGGCTCCCGGGCAGTCGTCGTGACGAATCGCTACAAGCACGTGGGAACAGTCCGCACAGTGAATGGCTCCTACGTCGCCGATGCGCGTGCCAAGGCCACTTCCTGTTTGCAGGCCTACTACCCCCTGGCGCACCGCGTCTACGGCAACTACGACATCGACCTGCGCACGAGGCTCTCCCACGTAGATTCGCTTTGCTTCTCGAAGCTGTGGTTCGGCACTGAAACATGGCTGATCCCTTCTCCCGAAGCCGTCCGGCATCTTCACGGCGCTCGCATGCGCGTGCTCCGGCAGGTGGCCAACCGCTCCCGGTTCAAGCGGTCCGGACACGGCTCGGACCAGGAGGTGCTGAGGGATTTGCACGTGTTGCCCACGGACCTGATCCTCTTGCAGAAGCGATTGGCGGCTGCTGCTACCACTTTCGCACGGGGCCCCGCTATTTTACGTGCGCTCCGCGCTGCACAGCACGGATGTGTGAACTCACGCCTCTCACTGAGCAGCAATTGGTTGCTATTGAGGGCCCTGGCCATGCTCGGAAACAGTCTGCCCACCAGCGGTAGTCTGTTTGTTTGATCTCTTCGCTTTTGTATAGCCTTGGTGTCGATGATCATCGTTTTATTCACCCCAGCTGCATCATCACAGCCGCCGTGCTCTATTGTTGCGAACGATACATATATATATATATATATATATATATGTATATACATACATACATACACTTATATATAAACATGTAGATTTGCATACGTGCGCACATACAAATTCACACACATATATATTTGTAAAAATACACATATGCACATGTAAATAAACATATATATATATATATATATCCCACAGAAGTCCTTACGATTCCCCTGAGGATTCCCTCAGGATTCCTAAGCGCTTATACACTTCAGAGAATCCTGCGGCGCGCAAGCGCGAACCCGCACGGGAACGGCGTGCGGTCTGCGCAAGGATTCCTTAGGATTCCATTCGGATTCGCTGAGGATTCGGTAGGATTCCTTAGGATTCCTTAGCATTCCTTAGCTCTCCATTAGGATTCGCTAGCATTCCTTCAGGATTCCCTTAGGATTCCCTCAGGATTCCTAGGCGTTCATACACTTCAAGGATTCCTGAGGCGCGCAAGCGCGAACCCGCACGGGAACGGCGCGCGGTCTGCGCAACGATTCTTTAGGATTCCATTAGGATTCGCTGAGGATTCGGCAGGATTCCTGAGGATTCCTTCGGATTCGCTAGGTGTCCTTAGGATTCCCTTAGGATTCGCTAGCATTCCTTCAGGATTCCATCAGGATTCCTAGGCGCTCATACACTTCAGGGGTTCCTCAGGCGCGCAAGCGCGAACCCGGACGGGAACGGCGCGCGGTCTGCGCAAGGATTCCTTAGGATTCCATTCGGATTCGCTTAGGATTCGGTAGGATTCCTTCGCATTCGCTAGGTTTCCGTAGGATTCCCTTCG